TGATCGTTTGCGGACGTTTTGGCGCGAAAATACTTTATTTAAGAGGAGAGGATCGAGTTCTCGTTTTAAACCTGTTGTATGTTTAGCAATAACAAATAAAATTGAAGTAGCGCACCCTATATTAAATAAATAAATTCGACAAAGTGTTTTAATAAGAACCAAATATATTTTGAGAAGAAAATTCAGTTCTTACGTAGACTCAGAATGACGTAGAAATTTGTGTACAAAGCAAATATTTGAGAAATGTATAAAATATTCAGAAGAAATAGGCTTAGCTTAAATACGCATTTTTTGAGTTACAGAATTTAGATAGAGAAATGCCACTAGAGCCAAAATAAAATCCTATTTCTCTCCTAATTTCAAGTTGTTATCTCATATTTTTAAGTTAAATTGTACGTTTATTATCGGCTTTTTTTTTCTTAACTAAATAACTGAACAAAGACGTATCTACCTTTTATAATCATATTTTTGTAGCTGTCTAAAGAGCGCGGATAAAGTCATAGTGCACGATGGAAAAGATGTCAGCAGCCCTGTTATTGGAGAACTCTGTAACTACCACGATTTTGTGGAGTTTGTTTCCACTGGACCAGATCTCTATATAGAGTTTAATAGCCAGAGCCGAGTTCCTGGACAAGGTTTTAAAGCAGTTTTCCAATTCTATGAAGAGCATCTGAACACGGGATTAAACATTCCGTCTACAGGTGATGAAATAAACATTTTCAATAGTATTTAGGATATTATTAACTTAAGATTCCCAAACACCCTCGTTAGTGACCTAAGAAATTAATGGTATATTACAGGATTCACGGTTTCCTCAAATTGTATTAACTCCCTGATAAATAAACGAATGGTATATTACAGGATTCACGGTTTCTTCAAATTTTATTAACTCCCTGATAAATAAACGAATGGTATATTACAGGATTCACGGTTTCCTCAAATTTTATTAACTCTCTGATAAATAAATTAATGGTATATTACAGGATTCACGGTTTCCTCAAATTTTATTAACCTCCTGATAAATAAATGAAAGTATTTTCACACACACCAAAAACGTTTCAAGATATGGACTTCCTCACAACCAAATTCAGCACATGGATGCTAGAGGATGGACTTGTTATCTGTCAACATATCCACTCTATAGATTCTAGTGTCACCTGGTAGCATATCCAGCTTATAGTTCTTACTGTCACCTAGCGGTATGTTCAATCTCTAACTTTCACTGTCACCTAGCGGTACGTCCAGTCTCTAGCTTCCACTGTCACCTAGCAGTATGTCCAGTCTCTAGCTTCCACTGTCACCTAGTAGTATGTCCAGTCTCTAACTTCTAGTGCCACCTAGAGGTATGTCTAGTCTCTAGCTTCCACTGTCATCTAGCGGTATGTCCAGTCTCTAGCTTCCACTGTCACCTAGCGTTATGTCCAGTCTCTAACTTCTAGTGTCACCTAGCAGTATGTCCAGTCTCTAGCTTCTAGTGTCACCTAGCAGTATGTCCAGTCTCTAGCTTCCACTGTCACCTAGCGTTATGTCCAGTCTCTAACTTCTAGTGTCCACCTAGCGGTATGTCCAGTCTCTAGCTTCCACTGTCACCTAGCGGTATGTCCAGTCTCTAGCTTCCAATGCCACCTGTCAGCATACCCAACCTCTACTTTCAGAACAAATTCAGCTCGTTTTGGGAACAGCATTTTGGATGCCAGTATTTTCATAAGTTTCAATTGTTAATAAAAAAACGAACACGACATTTTGTTTATGCTAAACATTAATAACATAAACCATGAAATGCATGCTTTCAATATATATATATGTATTTCAATACACAGAGAAACTCAAGAGGCCTATTACTAAGTTTCCTTTCCCAGAACGTCAAGCTAAGCCTTCTTTTTTTGATATTGGTTGAAATACTTACTTCCGACTCACTGTGCTTACTCGCAATCTCTAAGCAACGTAAAAGTTAAAACAGCGAACGAAAACTACACACAAAGGAAGGGAAGTACTTTTAAAATCTATAAAACGTTATAACGCAGCAGTTTTTATTCACCAATAAATATGGAATTTGAAAATGGATTTTTCTTGGTTCTATCTATCTTCCCCTTTTATAATCTTTATTAAGGAGCATACAACAAAAAGTATCTATCTATCTATCTGTTATTTATCTGTTTCTTTTTTCTTTATCTATCCATCTACTTGTATATGGGTTAGTCTAGATATCTTTCTCTTTGTAAGTCTGTTCGTTTTTTTTAAATGCCTAAAGTACACCTTTGCATCGTCTGCTAATCTTCTGAAGCCTATTTCAACGTCCCCTATACGAGAAAAGCACTTTTTTTGTTTGGAATATTTGTTGGATTAAAAACGATTCCACCAGAGGTTGGTTATCCAAGAAAAATCTTTTTAAACTACAGAATAAAATTAAATATTAATTTCTAGATTTTATAGATTTTATTGTAAAACAATTAACTTCAATACAAGATAGCCAAGAGACATTGTGTTACCTATATCCAGCAGCAAAACGTTTTTTTTTCAATCTAAGATTTGTAATAAACTAATTTATCTTCGATTAACACTGAATTACAATCGGGGCGAGCTTTGTACTTTGAGCGAAACTAAACATCAACCTGGCGATCAATATTATCAATATACATAAATAAAAGCATATAACCGTGTCAGATTTTTAGTCAAAAGCCTGGCTTTCAAAGTGATGAATAAAATAAGCATTAACCGTTTCATTTGGTTTCATTATTGAAAAATTAGGAGATAAGAAGTTTTTGTTTTATTCGTATGATTTTATATCCACTTTATGTTTTTTCAGAACCACAGAACAACGGTTTGATCTTAGCAGTCAATGGTAAACCACGTAAGTACACTAAAACCATTTCGTTCTTAGTTTGATAGTTTTTTCTCGAACCACAGTAGTAATCTATAAATGATTATTGACCAAACGTAATTTCTCGTCATTCTCGTTCTTCTTTCGTCACAGGAAATCATACTTGTAGAAAAATAAAATAATCAGTGAAACTCCAATACCTTAGTGTTTGGGCTAAGCCTAATGTCCTGAAAAGTACCCAAGCTCGCTAAATGCGTTCTGTACTTCAGGAGGCCCGGCATGGCCAGGTGGTTAGTGCGCTCGACTCGTAATCTGAGGGTCGTGGGTTCGAATCCCCGTCCCACCAAACATGCTAGACCTTTCAGCCGTGGGGGCGTTATAATGTGACGGTCAATCCCACT